CCACCCACCCGCGACCCAAACCACGTTCACTGAACAAACCAAAGCCGCACAAACGCGGCGGCGGATTTTTGCATGCCGTCTGAGCCCGCAACGACCTCTTCAAGCCCCGCGCATCCACACCAGCCCGTCCAGCAACTTTGCCCTGGCGAGTTGCCTTGATCAGAGAAGACGGGGATCATAAAGTGGAAAAAAGGATTGCGTTGCCGTTATCTTGGGAAAGGAGGGGGAGGCAGGAGGAGTAAACAGGGGACGAGGAGGACGCGGAAGAAGAGAGGATGTAAGGAGAATGTGGAGAAAGATGAGGTGGAGGAGCAGGAGGACGAGGAGGGGGAGGAGAGGGAGGAGGGGGAGGAGGAAGAGGGGGAGGAGGGGGAGGAGGGGGAGGAGGATGATGATGGACGACAATGGGAGGACGATGATGGTGGCCGATGAGGGGGAGGACGACAATGGGAGGACCATGATGGAAGGACGAGGGGGGGAGAGGGAGAACGAGGAAGAAGACCAGGAGGAGGACGAGGTGGAGGAGGAGGACGACGATGACGATGAGGACGAGGACGAGGACGAGGAGGAGGAGGAGGACGAGGAGGAGGAGGAGGAGACCGCCATCGACAGGGAAGGTGGGGGCCACGAGGTCCCCGGCTCGACGACGCCCGCGTCGCCCGCGCCCGCCCCCTCACTCTTATCCGCAATTGCGGGGTGCTACGTATTACACCTCAGTGCGAATAGCACTCAGCATGAGAAACGTTGTCATAATACGAATCACACTGATACTACGAGCAACACTCATACCACTAAGGACGCGAATAATACCAGGACGACGCGTAATATAACTAATAATTCGTTGACATATATGAATACCGTTATCACAACATAATAATACGTTTGCGAAGCAGAATATAAATACTAGTCACACGGTCAATCCTTTTTAATACGAATAATATCATCACCAACAGTATTAGCAGCTTTAACAATTATAAAACGATTTCGAATACTACTAATAACATCAATTATCCCGGCAAAGCAACCTAACAACGATGTGTAGAAGCATATCTGCAAGCATTGCCCTTGAGATTCATGTAGGAATCCTGGTGTAGAATTCAGGTGTCCTCGCAGTCGCTCGTCCTCCTGCTCGTCCTCGCATGTAGGAGTCCTCGTCCTCCTCCTCCTCCTCCTGCTCGTCCTCCTTCTCCTGCTCCTCCTCCTTCTCGTCCTCGTCCTCGTCCTCCTCGTCTTGCTCGTCCTCCTCCTCCTCGTGCTCTTGCCCCTGCTCCTCCTGCAGGTGGCTCCGGGCATTGAAAATGTGGCCTGGGAAAGGTTTTGGGAACTCGAAGAGCACGAAGTGGCCTACAGTTGGCTCCGGGCATTGAAAATGTAGCCCGGAAATGGAGTTCTGGGAATTCGAAGAGCACGAATTGGCCTACAGTTGGCTCCGGGCATTCAACATGTGGCCCGGGAATGGAGTTCTGGGAACTCGAAGAGCACGAAGTTGCCGACAGTTGGTTCCGGGCATTCAGAATGTGGCCCGGAATGGAGTTCTGGGAACTCGAAGACCACGAAGTGTATAACTGTTTGCTTAAAACGAGTTCCGCGGGTTCCCCCCGGCACCCGCCCAGACCTCCTTGGGGAGTCAAGATGCTGTCTTTTGACACTATTAGAAACCTATCAGTCTTCGCTGTTAGGTAATAAAATGACGAACGCGAATAATAATCACAACGCCACTATGTAGCATTATAACAAGAAGACAAATCATTCGAAGGATATTAGTATTGATTAATCGAATAAGCGCAGGAGGGGGAGGAGGAGGAGGAAGGGGAGGAGGAGGAGGAGGAGGAGGAGGAGGAGGAGGAGGAGGAGGAGGAGGAGGAGGAGGAGAAGGGAGGGACAGGAGGAGGAGGAGGGAAATGAGGGAGGGAACGGAAAAGGAGGAGGAGGAGGGGGTCCGTAGTCATGGTGGCTCACGTAGAAACCGCTTGCCGTGGCGGCTGGCTCCTTGCAGCCGAGATTGAGGCTGCGCCGGCCTTCCTCTCCAGGAGACGCGTGGAACGACAGGCTTGAGTGGAAACCGCGACAACAGACAGCGGCAAGCAGAGGACGCAGTCGAGGTTGTGGCTTCTCTTCGTGTTCTGTTGGCAACATTCGTGGTGAGATGCTCAACTCCGTCGCCAAACTTCAAGCCAGCGTTGCTGAGTTCAGCACCGCGATTGGGGCCACTTGTGACATGATAAGCAAACGGGCCACCAACTCTCACAACACCACTTTGGCGCGCCATGTTGCCGATTCAGGGTGCATTGCGTCAAGAATGAGGAGCCGCAGGCGGCAAGCTGCGCCTTCAAGATTGGCTGGCCCGTGCCCAGCTCACAGCCACAGGTTATGATTTCCAGGCGGGCCCTGCAGGAAAGCGCTTCGTCTTCCGCGTCAAGAGGGATGCCGCCTACGCCCACATGGAGGTGGCCCAGGCGATGGGAGCCTTGCGCCTCGCCCGGAGGCAATGGGAACATCGCTCTACACTCGACGTGCTTGGTCAGCGCACCAACGTTTTCGCCAGCTTTGACAAGTGCCCGGCCATGGTCAAGAGGGAATTCGGCCTCAAGCAGTTGCGCTGCACCCTTGAGACCGCCCGCGCGAATTCCGACCCATCAGCGACAAGCAGAAAGCAGTGCCTTCAGCGAACTGGAAGCCGCTCGCCAGGATCATTCCCGAGCCAGGGGATGCAGATTTTATTCTGGCGTGGTGCTTTGCCAACTTGGCGGGGCTCGGCATCGACCGAAATCACGTTCTGCGTCGCTCCCAAAGCGGAGGCAACGTTGCCAGCCTTCCACAGTGGTCTATTGAACGCCATCCATTGCCACTGGCGCGGAGAGAGAGGCACTCCTTGGTCTCTGATATTGTCTTCCTGGACTAATCACGCCCTCTTCCACCGCGATCTTCCTCGTCAACAGTGTGGAGTTCGTCTCCACCGCCGTTTCCTTCACCCAGCAGTATCGCTGGCGCCCAAGAGTGCCATCATAGTGGTCTGCAAGTAAGAGATCTGCTATACCAACATAGCCTACACAACCAGTACCAATACGTTAGCTCTTCCCATCCAAGTTCCAAGGTTCCATAAAGAGCTTCGTGCTCCTGGGCGCGTTCTAGAGGTGTCTCTGGACTTCGGGGGTCTCCTTCGCATCTGCTACAACATCCATTGCTACCCGCTAGGAGAGCATGCTCGGCTAGCTATTTCTGATCAGATCCAGCGTGGCCTTGCGCTGGCAGAGGAGAACCCATCGAATTAGCTGGCGGGGGTCTGGTGATGTCAGCTTCGCAGGCGCGCCGCCGCGCAAGGGGCCCGACGCCAAGATTGACGGGCAGGTGCGCAGGTATCTGCAGGACTTGAGGGCATCGCAGGGTGGGATATGGATGGGGGCTCTCAGGAGGATGGTGGAGTTGGAGGCGCCCTTTCCCGCTCGTCATTGCCGGCCTGGGCGCGCGCTCAGCTTCGCGGGCCGCCAGTTCGCTGCGATTCCTGGATGGGGTGGCAGCGGCTGTCCATTGACAGAAGGTGGCGGAATATCGCGACATCCTGAGCAAGAGTGGGATCTCCCATCGTGCTCCGATTCAGGCCGCATTTATGCCTGCGGGCCCCAGTCCCACCTCCGAAAATTCGTTTCCTCTGAAGTTTGCGAGCGCCCTGGCTATGCTCGGTTCGTGGAAGCTATCGGGCCCGACTGCGACCAGGGCAGGTTGTCTCCCCCATTGGGGCGGGCGTTTCTCACCGAGGTGGCGCGGGGGGCCGCCGGGGTCGCCGCGGGCGCCCTGGCGCGCAGTCACCGGAGTCCAGTCTTTCATTGCGCTGCATGATCAGTTGTATTGGGGGGTGCTTCTGGAGGCAGGAATTTCGACTTGCCCGGCGAATGCGGCGGTCGCGCGAATCCAGGGAATGAGATCTTCGCGTCGGGCCGCCAGCGGGGGTCGCGGAGCTGATCGACCCGCCTGCGTTGCGGAGGCGCGCTAGCTAAATCCGCGGCGCTATGGCGTTTTTATTTTTTTTTTTTTGTTTGATTTATTTTTATTAATTTTTTTTTTTTTTTTTTATATTATTTTTTTATATTAGTTTTTTTATGCCTTTTTTTTGTTTTTTTTTCTTTGTTTTTTTTTTTTTTTTTTTTTATTTATTTTTTTTTTTTTTTATCATTTTGTTTTTATTATTTATTATTTTTATTTGATTATTTTTTCTTTTTTTTTATTTTATGGCGCAGCCAAGAACAAGCCGAGCGGCGCCGAGATTTTTTTAACTCCGGAGACGAGGGCGGTGGAGCCGGCCCGCGTCGTCGTCTCAGTGGCGCGGTGCGCAGGGGCCGAGTCTGGGCGCCCTCTGATCGCAGGGTGGCCGTGCAGGGGGTTCCACCAACCTATAACACCTCGGTTGCCGCGGCGCTAGCTGACGCGGCGCGGCTGCCGGGGGGGCGATGATGTTATCATGCCGCAGCCCAAGGATGCTTTCGACCTCGTGGTGATGGCATTGATGTCTTGGACCTACCCCCCTGCTCTTCGATCCCTCCAGCGGCGCGTTGATCGCGCGGGGGGCGGGGCCCCGGGCCTTGGTGGGCCCTTTTATTTGGGCTCGGAAACGTCGCCCGCGGTCTCTTGGCGTCCTCGGCAGGGCTCTCTGGTGGCTCTGAGGTGGCAGAGCCGCGATGCCCGCCCTGCGTGATGTTGAAGATTTTGCCATGGCGCATGGAGACGGGGCAACGGATGGGCGCGTGGTGCCTTGGCCAGCGGCGCCCGGACATGCGGGGCAAACTGGGCCCATGGGCCTCATGCGTTCCCCCGGCGAGCTCGTCGCTGGAGTTGTCGGCTCGGGGAACGAGTGCGCGCGTTGCAGCGGGGCTTCGCGGGCGGAAGGAACTTCGGGCTCGACGCAATCGCGCTCGGCGTCGCGTCTCGCATGGTCTCCGTGCTTCTTGATGCAGCCGTTCGGCTCCCAGCCCGACGATTGTCCGATTGAGGGCGGGCGTTTCCTGCGGTGCCCCGCGCGTGGATCGCGATGTTTCTGGCGGCCTGTGGCGGCCCCCATTTCCACGGCAGCTTTGCGTTGGACATTTTCATGCCCAGGTCAGATGTCTTGGTGCGCATGGTCGAAGTAGCCGCTGCCTGTTCGACGCAGTGTCTGGCGTCGTCCAAGGTCGCCCTGGCCCTGGCGCGCTCTCCGCCATTGGCAGTCGCCCATTCTCGACGGATCTGCGAGGGGGACTGACTATAGGCGCAGGGTGGCCAGGCACTCCGCGTGCTCAGGGGGATCTCTTGGGGCGAGACCGCGGCGGGCAACTCGGTCTGCCTCGGGCGCGCGCGGATGACGTCGGCCCGGTGGCATCGGCTCCTTCGTGAACGACAACATCCGAAGGCGGTCTTTGACCGCAGTGAGGCCCGTGCACGTCTCGCCCCGAAGCGAGCGACGTTTTCTGGGCACCCCAGTCCTGGTCGGCCCATTTTCTCCGCCTCTCGTCGCCGAGTGCAAGTTCTGGCTTCGGAACGACGCCCCCGACTTGGGACCCTTCCAGCTGTCGCGTATTTGGGGGTGGTTTTGAACCTGGACGTTTCAACCGGGGGTTGGCGCGAGCCACTATAGCGAAACGGTCGTGTCGCTGTGATCGGATTGCCGAGGTCGGCGCGCCTGCGTCCATCGTAAAACGCATGATATTTAGCCGTGCTGTCTCCGCCCTTTTGTCTGTTGCCCAATTCTGCTTTGTTCCGGGAGCGTGCCCTGCCCTTTCCGCCCTTCTCTCTCTCTCTCTCTCGCGGTGGGCATGCCTCCATCGCCTCTCTCTTCGACGGCCTTCGCAGCCCCCCCCCCCGCGCGGGCTGGTTCTCCTGGCGCGCGTGGGGTGGTTTACATGCTGCTTGATAGAATGCGATCGCTCATTTTTTTTTTTTTTTTTTTTTTTTTTTTTGTTTCATCCTCTTTTTTATGCGTTCAACCATGGACACATTTCCATAACATGTCTCGCTGTGTTGTCTTCTCTCGGGCAATGCTGCTGGGCGCCTCGAGATCGTTAATTTCTAAGCCGGTCGGCTGCCCCCGCGCTTCCGGGAAGCGCCAGCATGTGTCGAACACCGGCGCGAAATTGCTGCTGGATTCCTCCAATCCTTTCGCTTGGCTCGGGCTGAATCGATTGCGCGCAGTGCCGCGTTGGAACTCGTGATCTCTGCCGCCTCGCCCCCCCGACCTCTCAGGAATATCAAGATGCAGTGCAATATTCTCAAGATGTCCCAGCGTGAGCTCTTCCCAGACAGTTGTTGCCGAGTTTTTGGTTCATGTGAATTGGGAAGATGTCGCGGAAAATGTCGCGAATTATTCATCAAAGCGAGAGGGCCTTTTGCGAATGCAGTCTGGAAGACCCTGACAGACAGCTGGACCACGCCGATGCGGTTTCACGATGGTGAACCCATGTGGTGCTCTCTCGGGCGCTCAGGTTTGTTCATTGCTCGTGCTGTCGTCGGTTCGTCCAACTCTTCCAGTCTGTGCTTCGCCCTGACGTCCACTGCTGTCCTGGCTGCCGCTTGAGCCTCTTTCATCCCGCGGTCTCGAGCTTATGCGTCTCCGCTGCCTCTCGTTTGTTTTTTGACAGACCCTCGGTCTCTCGACCGGCCACCTGCTCATCTTTCCCTTGGGGAAGCTTGGTCTGGCGCAGGAGCGTGCGCGTCGGGCGCGCGGCACGAAGGAACTGCGCGCGGCTGCCTGCAGGTACGCGCGAGAGGGAGGAAGAGAAACAAAAAGAGGAGGAGGAGGGCGAGGACGAGGAGGACAAAGAGGAGGAGGGGGAGGACGAAGAGGAGGAGGAGGATGAGGAGGAGGACGAGGACGAGGACGAGGACGAGGAGGAAAAGGAGGAGACGGAGGAGGAGGAGGCGGAGCGGGGACGGAGGGAAGGGGGGGAGGAAGCGGCGGATTTGAAGGAAACGCGAAGCTGATGAGGAGGATGAGGAAGAGGAGTTGGAGGAAGAGGAGGACGAGGAGGAGGAGGAGGAATAGGAGGAGGAGGAGGAGGAAGAGAAGGAGGAGGAGGATACTGATAAGGAAAAGAATGGGAGGAGGAGGAACAATAATAATAATGAAATGTTGAAAAACAATAGTGCTAACAATCGTAATCGTAGTGATGCGAAGAAAAAAGAAACAGACGATTAAGAATAATAAGGGTAGTCGTAATCATATTCATGATATTAGTCAGGCGGTGATTGGGAACATAAGACAATACGAATTGCAATCATGAAAAGAGTATCGGTAACCATAATGGTCAGAATAACGATACGACCAATCATAAGCATACTAGAGCACATTATGATAATTCTAAGATGAGGATTGCGAATACTAATCACACGAGACATGGGAAGGACACCGACCGTACTAAGACTAAGACCTGTCATGCGTAAGGTTATGCAAACGAATCGTAATACTAACGATAAGAAGAGTGACACTTTCAAAAACATGCGAATATTTTCAATATCAGTCATACGACGAGCAGT